AAAAATCGATTTTTTATGAATTAATCGATTATTTATATTGTAAAAATCGATTAAAATTAATTAATTGATTATTTAAATTGTAAAAATTGATTATTATGAATTAATTGATTATTTAAATTGTAAAAATCGATTATTATGAGTTAATGGATTATTTAAATTGTAAAAATCGATTTTTTATGAATTAATCGATTATTTATATTTTAAAAATCGATTAAAATTAATTAATTGATTATTTAAATTGTAAAAACCGATTATAATGAATTAATTGATTATTTAAATTGTAAAAATTTATTATTATGAATTAATGGATTATTTAAAATTATATAAATCAATTTTTATAAATTAAATGATTATTTTAAATTATTTTCCTCAATTCCAGATCATGCTACGAAAATATATTCCTGAAAATATGCTCTAAAATCCTATTTTTGATAAAAATTAATTATGAACAATACAAATATGATTTTGTATAATAAAAATGATGTTTTAGGCATATAAAACATTATGTGATGCATGGCGGTAAGTTAGAGTGTTAACACTCAAAACTAGACCGCTATTTGTTATCAATTGTTATGTTGATTAATGATTATGATGAATGATTATTATGGATGATCATGAATAATGAACTAACTAATCAAAATGATTATTGATGATTCAACCATGAGAGTAATGAATATATTGATAATTATTAAACGATTTGTATTGTTAAACGGTATCTAGAAGAACTCTAAGATATACCCATTAGTTAATTGATGTTAAGGCTATCTAGAAGACCTCTAAAATAGATCTTGTATTAGAACAGGCTTATGAAAACATGAACATTTGATGAATTAGATAAAAACGCATAAATGGGATTCATAGACCAAACTAGAGGATCACTCGTTTGGGAATGCCCGATCTAATGATCATCAATCGCTATATTGTTGTTGCCTTAACTCACTACAGTTAAGTGTCCGAATCATTTGCCTTAAACTAGTGATATTTTAAGTGTCTGATTGCCTTAACTGACTGCAGTTAAGTGTCCGAAATCGATTGCCTTAAACTAATGATAGTTTAAGTGTCTCATTAATAATTGCCTTAAAAGAATCTGGTTTGGAAATTATGATTTGGCCTTAGACTAAGAATAGCTAAGAGCGTTGTTATGATCTGGCCTTAGATTAAGAATAATTTAAGAGCACTATTGGATTAATATCTGAATTGAATAAAATGTATTGATATGAACTGAACAATACCAAAACTATGAATATCTGAAATGAACATTGTGTGCATGATATCAAATGATTTGATTATGAATTTAGATTCAGTTTATATGGATGTTCGACGCATTAGATATGCTTACTCAGCTTTACTGCTGAGCGTGTAGTGTGTTTTATTTGCTACACGCAGGTAAGCAGAAAGCAGAATGTGATCCTGGCGGCAGATGGGGCGAGATTGTCGGGATGGATGGGACAAGTTTTGAAACAATTTATGATATGTGAATATTAAAATCGCTTCCGCAATATTGTTGAATACTCCGTATTGTATATGTATTGAAAAATATTATTGGGATTAATAAAGTGTGTTTGAAAAGGTTTAAATTTTTACGATTACCAAGTTAAATACTTTAGTCCGAATGGGGCTGCAGACCTGGACGGATTAGGGTGTTACAGTTCCCGTCCGAGAATCCTTCATAGAAAAACCGTGAGAGTCAAATTCTACAGTACAACTACTGTCACGAGTGAACTGACAAACAAAAATAAGATTATGAATTATACGAGGGGAAACAAGGACATTGTTAAGGGAAAGGGGTGGAGAGGTGGGGAATATGTGTTTACCAATAGCCGTAGTGCTTACTTTTGATCCATAACCAACAGTGATAAAATGTGGAGAATTTAAACTTTGTGAATAAACATGAGAAATAGTACTTGAGTCTAAAGCAATGTGATGAGTGGCTCCGGTGGCCATGAGCCACGTGGGTTCAAGGAGGGTAATCGTATCAAAGTGGTGGGCTAAGGCCGTGGGGGTGAGGGGTTGGGGTTGGGCCGAGGGAGACCCGTAGGTGTAGGGGTGGGGTTGACTTGGGTTATGGGG